GTTCGTGGGCCAGACCGATTGGCCAAAGTCACAAAGTGACAATGTGGAACCAAGCAGTTCCTGAAGGACTAAGCCAAATTAACATTCCTTAAAAGACAAAGAACTATTTTTGCCAAATTGCAGCCAGTTTTTGGTGTTTATTGGATGCTCACGTTGCTGGAGGTTGAATCATTCCTCCTATGGCACGCGCTCGGCCGCCTCAGGTGTGAGTTTGGCTAACCTGCCGCTCGGTCCCTCAGCCGCTGTGCCCGGCCTGGCCTGGGAGAGGCCCTCGATGCAGGAATTCGGCACACCCTTCCGGTGCAGACGGCCAGACGGCGCACGGCACACAGTGCAACGCACGCCCTCCTCCTCCCCACCCTCTTCCTCATGTCGGGCCTCTTTGAAAGCCAGCCTGGCCGGCTCACGGACCCCGCTGGAGTGCCACAGTGTCGCTGCCACCGCCTCTCTGCCTCTGACTCCAAATTGGTGCTCGATGTCGTGTCCACGCTGGAGCACTGCGTGCCTCGGCGTGCCTGCACTGCGACTTCCAATCGCGGCGGGCAGGCTCTGGCGGCGCCAAGGGCCGCTGCCGTGTCCCGACAGATTCCCGGCCGCGGTCAAAAATAGCCTGGACTAGGACCGCGAGCGCCGCCACTGCCCCGCCGGCGTGGAGGCAACTGGGGCGATCGGGCGCTTCGGCCGTCAACGAGGGGGCCGTCGAAGACGTCGAAGGCAGGTCGGCCGGTGGGGACGTTTGGGCGCTTTGTGCTGCAGGCTGCAGGCTTTGCGCGCGGCGATGGCCATGGCCGCCAAGGCGGTGGTACAGTGCATCTTGAATCGGCGCGGCAGGTGTCCACGGTGTCCACTGTGTCCGCGGCCGCCTAATAGCACGCAGCTGTGCGCTACGGTCCTTGGTTCTTGGGCGGGCCTGCGGGGTGGAGTCATTCCGGAACAGTGCTCAGTCTCTCTCTCACCGTTGGGCCGCTCCCCGTGAGAGAGACAGTGAAGGCTGTCTCTGCTGGCGCGGCTGGTCTCGCAAAAATGCTTTGGGGTGAATAAATGCCCTCGGGCTGACGAAACGATTTCGGCTCGGAAAAGAAAAGCGTTCTTGGTCTTGTTTAGTGTGGCCCGCCGCGGGGCTGAAATAGCTATTTCGTTCCGAATCGGAGCTCCATCAGAGCCGCGGCGAAGGGGCTGTCGTAGGTGACAGGCTGCTGGCAGGTCCCCGGGGAGGGGGGCGGGGAGGCCGTCAGTTTGACGACGCCGCCCTGGCCGGTGGTGGTGGCGCGGTCCAAGTCAGTCGCGCCGCGGCCGCCGGCCAAAACGGCGTCCCGCACCCCGTGACGGCCATGCAGGTGGCCTTCTTGTAGCGGCGACCTTGATGTTTTAATTTTAAACAAAGCGGGGCGGGGTGTGGCGGCGCGTCGAACCCAAATGGCCGATGGCCGCGGCGCCGCGCGGTGCTGGCGGCCGGCCGGACGCATTGTGTGTTGAGGTAGCAGCACTTGAGCAACAGTTTCCGGTCCACTTTGCATGACGCCCCCGGTTTCCGGTGGCGTCGCGTCGCGTCGCGTCCTCCGCGGGGCGCGTCGCCCGCGCGCTCTCGCGGAGCCTCGCTGAGTCTCGTCTCCGTGCGCCCCGGCCAGCACGCGGCCAGGCCAGAGGAAGGACTTGCCGCCGGCCGCCGCGTCACCACCAACTTGATTTACTCGAAATGCTCGAGACGCGATAATTGAAACGCAGTAGCATAGCCTGCCTTCCTCTACATCCCGATCAAGGTGACCGAGAGCAGCTTCCTCCTCGCCGTGAATAATTTCGGGGCGTAGCCGCGCACCGCCGTGGCACCGCAAAGTCGCGGCCGGCCCGCTGAGTGACACGCGCGCCAACCTTGATCTCGACCACGCATTGCCCTGGCATTGCCTGCCGCGCGTCGCCGCGTCGCGTCGTGCTCCAAATGATCAAGTTTCTCATTTTCTGTTGTTGGCTGCGCGCGCGGCTCGGGTACCTCGGCGGGGCGTGGCGGCGGGGCGCTGCGTGGGATGGCTCTCAGCGCAAGAGGCGTTCCGGTCCATGGAGGCCCTCGTCGAGTTGGCCGCGGTTCCGAATCCGAAGTCTCAGCAAATTAGGGGCCCCCATCGCCGTCGTCGCCGTTCTCCTGGCGCGGTGCTGCAGCCAGCCAGGCGAGCCTGGCCCTGGCCCCGGCTGCACGTGGACTTTGGGTTTGCCTTTGGGCGGCCGCCCTGCGTGAGCGCTTGTTGCAAATTGCACTCCCTGAGCGTGGGGGTGGTCTTAAGATCTTTGTCTTTCATGCCCTGTCGAGGAAGCGTGATTAGCAACACCACCTTTGAGAGCAGTGGTGCCGCAAAGCTTGCGGACGCCGTTCGAATGGGCCGCGCGCCACGCCAGCCTGCGCCAGCCCCACACGTAGCGTTTGTTTTGGTCCGTAGTTCGCGCTGCTGCCGCTGTTTGGCCGGCCATGGCGAGCGCTGGCGTCGCCGCGACTGGTGGTGCCGCCCGGCGGCCGCGGGCGGAACTGCGCCGTCGTGTCTGTGTCGGCGCCGCCGTGGCCGCGCCGGCCGCGGAGCGCGGGGACCGCTCGCGCGTCGCGGAGTGGGCAGACGATCAAAGGAATCGGTGCGGGGAGCTCTGCTAACCGGCCGTGTCAAATTGAGGAAAACTCGCGCCATGCTGCACCTGTGCGGTGCTCGCCAGTGTGCTCGCCAGCGCGGTGCTCGCCGGTACACTGCTCGTCGAGCCCCGGCCGCGGCGGCGTTCCAAACACATCAGGCGCGTCGTCTCCGCCGACCTTTGAGGATGCCCCGCTATCGTGCCGGGCCGGACCGCATTCCAGACTGATAACTCACTTGCCTCGCGCGGTACGCTGGTACGGCCGTTCGTGAAACAAGTCGGTCTATCTGGTTATCTGCACGCTCAGCACGACGAGTCGGTGGGCGCTGAAGTAATCGTTTGTTTTGGACGAAGTGTGTAACTCTGCAGTACCGCCCTCAAACAAAATAAAACGAGAAAGCTTGTGCTGGGCTGAGGGATAGTCTGTGCCCCGAGGGACGTCAATGTATCGCGGCCCCGCACTCACAATGCTTCCATCACGTTCCCGCCAAAAGCGAGCCGCCCCACTGGCGGCCGGCCAGGCCCTGGGCCGCCTCGGGCCAGGCCGCTGCTGCGCACTGCTCGGCACTGCTGCGCTGCATCGGCGGAGCGCGGAGCAAGCGGGACGCTTCGGGACCCTTTCGGCGGCCGCGGGGGAATGACCGCCTCGCGAAACGGATTCGCGATTCGCGGCGTGCCGGCCCTCTTTACGAAGGAAGCGACGGACATATCGCGGATTTCCCGGGAAGTCCGCGCCGCGTCGCCGCGTCGCGGCAGTGACTAAGATGACTGTTACGAAATTTGAACACGCTCTCCTGGCAGGGCGCCGGACTCCTGGCCGGGCTGGCCCTCTCAGTCTCTCACTGTCAACGATCAGCGCGGCGACCCCCGCCCGAGCCGTCCCGGGGATGGGGTGGGGGCTCCCGGGAAGTCCGCGGGGGCGGCGCCCGTTCGACGAACGGTCCGGTTCTTTGAACGCCGCGGGCTTCCTCCGAGGCGGCTTTATCGAAGACAATATTTGCGTGCCGAGTTATTCTGATATTTATTTCTGAAAAACCGTCCACCTCTGTGCATTGGCACTGGGCCCGGTGGTACCGAGCAGGGAATGCCCATGGATCACTATGTTCTCTGTCAGTGGGAAGTGCATGTTCCTGGTCCACGGTCAATACTATGTTGGCCTCAGGCACGTTTGCACTGCCCGCTTACTGGTCTACCGGCTTGTCTACCGGCCTCGGCGGCTCGTCTGCAGTCTGATTTCGAGGGTCGTTTTCGTCGCTCTGTCTCTCTCGCACTCATGGGGCATCCCGTGTGGGTGCGAAAGGGACAGAGCGACCACAACGACTCTCGGAATAAGTCCACTGTGGCGGTGATTCGGAGAACCCGATGACGAATCCTCAGCCTCCGTGCGCCAAGACCCTGTCTCCCCCCTGTCTGCGTCGCGCACCTGCCTCTGCTGTCTCCGCGCTCCCCGCCACGTCCTTGTCTCTCTTGCCGCGAGCCAGTGTGCCAGTGCCAGCGAGAGGGAGACGGCCGCCGTGTGTTGCTTCGCTTCTTTTGTCGTTGACGCATTTCGGGCGTTGGTGATGGTGTGTCTGCATTCTGCTCTGCAACAAGGCGCTTCCCCAAACCCATTAGCATTTGGCTACAAAGACACAACGGCGCAGCTGCTGTTCAAAAGTTGAAATGGGTCCTATTTATAGAATTTACCTCGATTTACCTAACAACCTGTTATTATCGCCATGCGTTATCTCATTGGAACAAATCCATTCATTCGATAACAAGGCTAATCATTAATAGTGTAGTAATTACAGCGCCTGTTTATTGCAATAACAGCTATTATACGACCTGAACGGAACCCGGCACCGCTCACCGCACCGGTTGCTCGTTACCCGTCGAGCGTTGACCGTGCCGTGGCGATGCGGGGCGGGGCGAGGGGCGTCGCGCGGGGCGTCGGGCGTGACGTGCGAGGCCGGCTTCTCGGTAACCCTTGTGCCGTTTATAAATAAAAACGGCGGACGACGTGAGCGCGCATCCACCATCGCGCGGTATGTCGCCAGGACGCGGCGTGGCGCGGCGCGGCGCACCGTACCGCCGTGAGCGCGGCGCCAGTCGCCGCCTGCAAGCGACACCGATCGGAGCGCGCGTGGACCCCGGCTGCCCCGCGGCACCCCGCCAACCCGCCACTGCCCCCTCCGGCACTGTGACCCCGCGGCGCGCCCCGCGGCCCCGCGGCTAGCCAGGCCGGCAGACCGCGCGGTTCAGTGTGTGGTTCGTAGTCGCCGCGACCGGGACCCCCCGCACACCAGCTCCAGTAGCGGCCAGCGGCTTTTCGGACTTTGGCTCCGTGGACCTTGCTCGCCGGCTCGCCTCGGGACGACGCACTTCTTGTGCGAGCGGCGGAGCGGCGCCTCGGACGACGGCTTCCAGGACGCGGACGCGCGGACGCGGTGCAACCGGAGCCCCGACACGCCGTGGACCCCGAAGAACCGGGTGACATCTTCGGACGCTGAGTGCGACTGTGTAGTCTCGGGTCAAAGTTGACGCCACCGCCGCAGCCATGAAGGACAAGGACAAGAAGTCGCCGTCCTCCTCGGTGTCCGTGGCCAAAAAGTGGTTCCTCCCGAGCAGGAAGCAGCAGCCGGAGAAAGACAAGGCGACGCCCAGCGCGGCCAGCGCGGCCACGGTGCAGCAGCGTCCTCCGCTGCCTCCACAGCACCAGCATTCCCCGTCGCCACAGCGTCCTCCGCTGCCTCCTCAACACTCGCCATCACCGCAGCGGTCTCCGCTGCCTCCTCAACAACAACACTCACCGTCGCCGCAGCGTCCTCCTCTGTCCCCTCAACAACATCAACACTCGCCGTCGCCGCAGCGTCCTCCGCTGTCCCCTCAGCAGCCGAAGTCCCCGCAGCTGCAGAGACCGCAGGTTAGACGCCGTCGCCGACGTCCTGGAAGAATTTGGTTTTCCGCGACCTGGGAGGTCACAGGACACGGATCGCAGGTCGCGGGTCGCCGCCCTGCCCGAGCTTCTTGGTGTGCGTGGCCGCGGCACGGCGCCACGGCGCCAAGCCAGGATGGGGATGCGTTTTGCCGAAACGAAAACAAAACAGACTGCCGTGGGCCAGTGCGCTTCTCCCCTGACATACGCCCCTCCTGAAACTCGCTGTCTTTCTCACTCCTATACGGGACGACCAACGAGCGCCCACAAGTGTGAGAGAGACCGTGACGGAAACACAGACCGCGGCCGACTCCTTGACTGGGTCGTGATCAACTCAACAACAGTGTACGGCGCGCCGAGGCCGGCCGTGGCGTCCGCGTCCCTGGCGGGCGGTGCGTGCTACGACGGGGACGTGCTCGTGTTTGTGCATTTCCTTGGCACCTAGCGCGCCGTCCGGTTCATCCGGTGCGGGGGCCGCGGCGTCGGCGCACCGCCCGCACCGACCCGCACCGGCCCGCACCGGCTCGCGATGACGAAGGTGACACGCGCGTATTTTGGCCGGTGAGGTGAGGCCCCGGGATTCCAGTCGAGCGGGTCTCTACCGAATCGGCGGCAGTGCGGCGGTCGCGCCACGGACCAAAACACAGGGCCAACATGACAAAAACTTCTCAACATCCAATCCAGGCGTGTTGTTCCTGTTCAGTAAGGGGCACTCATGGAGTGATTGAGTTTTCAAGTCCGATCATCCTATCCTATCGTGAAATCACATAAAATTATTGAATTGCATGTTACGTTAACTCTTCCTGGCCTGGGGTGAGGCGCAAGCCACAGGGTGGCGCGGACGCGCGGTTTCGATTTTGGATGCGTTCGTGTGTGCGTGTGTGTGTGGACCCGAATGGTCCCCATTAGTCGTGGGCCATTACTACACCGCTAGAGTACCCGGCAGCCCTGCAGCCCGGCAGCGGTAGGCCGGCAGGTGGGAGGTGGGGTGAAGGGTGTTTGGCGCTCCGCCAGACAGCCGTCATCCGTCTCGAGTTTAAATGATCTCGCCGCGATAACCCCTTCCCTCCCCTGCCCTCGCTGCGGTCCGGGGCTGCGGCTAGCCAGGCTAGCAGTGGCTAGATAGCAGCCGCCCGGTCTGACGGCCACGCGGGCGGCCGGCCGGCCAGAGAGCGGCAGGGCGGCAGCCAAGCTCTGCTCTGCTTTGGCCACTTGAGAGCAGCGCCTCGCTATATCCGTAACAAAGTCGCGAGCTTTAGGCCGTGCCCACGGCCGTGCCCGGTCGCGCGTCCGACGGAACGTCATGCCCCCCGCATTCCGCTACCCGCCACTCCGCCACTCCGCCACGCTCGTGCCAGTGCGAGCTATGCACGCCGTGCCGCGCGTCCGCCTAGACGCGGCGGGTGCAAAGCGCCCGGCGCGGTAGGCACCCCGCCGAGCAGGCGTGCGCCGACCTTCGGGAGTTGCCTACCCTGCACGGGGCTCTCCGCCGACTCCGTGGCGGGCCAGGCAGGGTGGCTGCGGCGTGCGGGGTGGTGCGGGGTGGTGCGGGGCACCAGGTTGGCCGCGCGGTTCGAGGGTTCAAGGGTTCAAGGGCCGGCCGGCCCACCGCCTGGCCGCGGTCCAACGGCGAGGTGACGTCGCGGTGGCGTCACGGCGCTGCACTGTCACCCAGCGGCCCAGCGCGTTCCGCGTTAGCCGCGTTAGAGGTGGAAGATTCTCGAGCGGCGCTGTGACTCACGCGGTGCTCCACGCTCCACGTCACGCCGAGCAGAAAGAGAGAAAGGGTTTGAAAAGTTTGACGAGGCGGCCCGTCCCCCGGCCATCCGCTCGCTTGCGTTGAGGTTTCCGGTTTGTTCTGGGTGACTAATTTCTCATGATTGTTGTCTGTCTGTGTGTTGCAGGTAGGCTCGGCGGTAAGCTTCGGACCAGTCCCTCCTCTCCTGCACCCCCGCGGCTCTCTAGCGCGTCGTTGCCGCTCGGACCGTAATATTTCTGCATGTCCCCGTTCACATGGTCTCATTTTTGCGTGTGCTGGTTTTACCGATCGCGACGGTGTACATAATTCCATCTTGATTTGAGGGTGCAACATGCATTTCGGGGTCACTTTGCATGCAAGGCTGGTGTTCGCGCACCGGCCGCCATGCACATTCATGCCCTGATTGCGGCGACCGCGTTGCTTGTCTCACCTTAATCTCGGTCCAGTATTAATCCCACCTGTTTGGTTTCGGTTTGCGCCTAACCCGTCCTGGTTTTGGTTTTCCAGCTTAACAAGTACACCTACCCGCGGCCGCCCCCCACCGCGTCGCCCCAGCAGAAGGTACGTCCACCAATCACCAGCTCATCTGCATGTGCTTAGCCGCCTCCTGCAGCGGCGCGTCGTCCCGCCGTGTTGTCGTGCGGCCCGTCGCTGCCGAGGCCGGGTGGATTTCTCATACCGCTTGCCGCCACTCCCCTCTCCCTGCCGCCCCGCGCCGCCCCGCCCGGCGCTGCTCGCCCTGAGTCACTGCGTGGGCGATGTACGTCACTGGCCGCGTCGCCGCGTCGCCGCGTCCAGCTCCAGCACTCGGGGCTCCGGCTGGCTCCGGCACTCCGGGCTCCGAAGGTCTTGACGTCGAGCCAGCGGGGAAAGTTCTGGAAGGCACGGGGGCTCTGCCTCGGCTCGGCAGCGCTTCGTCGCCCTGTCTCTCTCGCACCCCTACGGGACCCCTACGGGACGCTCCGCGAGTGCGACAGAGACAGAGCGACGCGATGATCCTTGCCGCCGGCCTCGGCGCCTCGGCGCGTCGGAGCCCTTTGTGCCGCCTTGCCGCCGTGAGTCACTCCAGCGGCTCCAGCGGGTGACTGCAGCCTCCGGCCCGCCGTGTTATTCCTGGAAGCGCTGCGGGTCCAGCGCCGTGGCCGGAGAGTTGGAGGGGCCCTGCCCGGCCTGGCCGGCCTGGCCGGCCGCGGTGCCAGTCAGGTGCTATTTACGGCCAGGCTTGCATTCTCGGTGAAGTCATCCGCGGGTCCATTGCGCCTCCCCCTCCTTCTCTGCACACGCTCGTCGCCCCTCGTTACCAAACCGCAAAAGCCCACAGCTTGAATGAGCGTCCCGGTGGGACCTGGCGGGGCCTGGCGGGGCCGCGGCGCGCGCCTCGGCATCCTGTGAATCCTGCGGCTCGCGCCGTAACATCCTCGCCCCACCACGGCCAATCGAGTACCTATCGGCCTGGGCGGCGGCTCGTGCGCTGCCTTCGGGCGCCTTCGGGCACCTTCGGTTTCTTTCGGGCTCCTTCGGCTACCGTCGGCTCGTCGTCGGTTACCTCCGGCTGGACCTGACCCTGCTTCACCAGCACGGCGTCGGTGGGGCGCCCCCCGCCCCCTTCGCCCGGCCGCCTCGGCTTGGGCGGCGCGTGCTGTGGGGCGAGAGGAGCTCCGAGGAGGAGGCAGGCCTGGCCCCTGGCCCCAGGTCCGGAGCGAGCCGAGCGCGGAGCGCGGAGCGGCCCGTGAGTCAGTCCAGTCTCAGTCTCAGTGAGTCGGGACCCGGTCGTGACACGACACGTGACGCAGCGCGGCGTCGGGGCCTGGTCGGGGCCATAGAGGGCGTCGCGACGCCCGTCCGGTACTTGGCGCGTGCTTTGTGCGTGCGCAGCGTGCGCGCGGTCAGCAGGCGACACCTGTTGGCCGTTGCTGGCGGCTGCTGGCGGCTGTGACTCATGCAGCAGCAGCAGCAGGGTGACATGTAGGACCTGTGCGCCCGTAAGGATCCCTCCACGCGTTGCTGCTTGCCGTGCGTGTGTGCGTGTGTGTGTGTGCGTCGGCTGGAAGTGTAAGGCCCGTGTCTCTAGAAAGGCTCTCCGTGACCCTAATCTCAAACATCATCCCATCACCGTGCAACGCGCGCACCGGGGCGTGGGTGTGGAGGGGCTATAAACATTTCTTACTTATCGAAACGAGCTCGCTTTAGAGCCGGGTCCCTAATCCGTGTGGACGAACGCGGCTGTAACTGCTAAAGTTTCCACTCGACACCACTGGGATAACCGATTTCGAGTGCCTGGCACAGCGAGCGTTCAAAAATGGAGTGCTCTCGCCGCCCTGTGGACGCCGGTCCGCGAGTGCCCGCGCGTTTTCACTGGGACGGAAGAGAACGGCAGTGTGTCGCCATCGAGCATCATCAGCCAGCACCGCGGCCAGCACGCGTGCAGATGCACTCCATCATGCACCGCGAGTCGCGTGGCCGATTCGCTGACGGCGGCACACTGTTTACTTTTCACTTTTGCCGGGTAGGTTTGACCCGTCAGGTGCAGTGCGCTATGCGGCAGCAACACGTCCGGCAAACGGCTCTCGAACTGCAAGCCAAAATGGTGAGGCGCGCCGAGATCGTCTCGGTGGAGCCCCCTCGGCCCTGCCGGCCCTGCCGCCGCGTATGCGTACGTTGTACGTCCGCGCGCGCTTCGGAGAACAACAACGGCCGGGTTCGACGGCACGGTCGCCGTCGCCACTTCCCCCGCGACCAATTTTCACCGGTGAACTCGCCTCGCAGTGCTGACGCGCGGGGCTCGTCGCGAGACGTGGCTGAAACTGAAGACAATGTGAGGGTGGCGGGGCGGGCCGGGGGCGTCTCCGCGGCGTATCGCGTACAATAGGAACGGGTGTCAGCGAAAACGGGGAAGAGCACGATGGCGGAAAAGAAGCATCACCTGTTGGAGGGCTTCAGATTTTGGGAGGTAGAACGTTCGTCGAGTTACGAAACAGTGGCAATGGAAGCCGAGTTTGAGTCGGCACTGTCCGCGCCGAGCCGTGCGGTGCCATGCGCGAGACCGCGCGAAACCTTCGCCGCGCTTTCGGCGTAACAGCGCGGAGGTGTGCCTTAGAACCTATTACCGGGCCCCCAGTAAACGGTAAAGTTTCTGTTTTCGCCGCTGTTGCTGGGCGTGGGGCGCTGGGCGTTGCGGGGCAAGTAGCTGACGCTCGTTCCCACGGTCGTTCTGCTGGGGTGGACAAGACCCGGGCCGACGGGCCGCCTGGCCGCGGGGGCGGGCCCTTGGGCGGGCCGCTGCAGCCCTCAGCAGTCTCACCTGTCGCGCGACTTGGACCCCCACCCCAGTTTCTCCTTGCCCAGAGTGCTGCAGGTCAGTGGGGCCCGGGGAACGAGTGGAGCGACGGAGCTAGGAAGCCGGACTCAGAGCGAAAGGCCCCTAAAATGGCTAGCCTTCTCAGCTACGTTACACGAGGAGGGCTTGAATGCTGCAGCAGAATGTTGCGCAAAATGTATAGACGACCGCCAAGCGGGCGCAGCGCGCCTTGACCAACACACCACCGGGCTGGGATGAAGCAATTGGTGGTTTCGCTCAAATGTTTCCACAAATGTTGCGGTTTCGTTCGCGGCGTAGCTGTCCAGTTGTTCCCTTCCCGATACGTTTGTTAGATCTTTTTAGCGCCGAGTTTGCATTTTTTTTCCGCGCGGCGTTCCCCTGTGGGACTGCATCGAGGCGACGGGGAGCTAGCGGGCCGTGTGGCATGTCCATACGACACTTGCATGCAACTCTGAAATGGGCGGGATGGGCCAACCATTTCACTCTTTTCCGGCCTCCAGGCAGACCTGTCGAAGAGCAATTTACGAGGCTTATTGGATGACCGAATGCACGCGCACGCACACACTCGCACGCACACACACGTACACGGCCCTTTTCCGCAGGGAGTGACGTGTTCTCGCACCACCGCGACGCACCGCGATGCCCCACCAGGACCGCTTCAGGATGCGGGTCAACTTGCCTTTCCCCGACTCGGCGCGGCAGGCCTTCATGAAGACGGTGAGTAAGCGCGGCCGCGGACGGGCGTTCCGCGAACCAGATCCGGATGGACCGAGCGTCGCCGGGCCTACCTGGGCCCTGGCAGTGCCCTGGCAGTGCCCTGGCGGTGCCCTGGCCCCGGGCTCGGACATGAATGGGGCGGCCTTGTCGCTATCGTGAGGTAGTAAACCGGCAGGGGAGGGGGGATCGCCAATGACGTGTTATCATGTGGGGCGTCGCCCCCACCACTAACACGGCGTCGCCGAGGCTCGCTAACTGTCATTCAGTCTTCGAGAACGCGTTGTCCCGTCGTCGTGTCATCCGCGCCGCGTGGGCTCGGTGGACTGACAGGAGGGCGTGCGCGTTGACGGGGACCTGGCCGCCGCCATGAGCTCCTGGACCTCGTACAGCAGCCGGTGGCACCGCGGTGGTGGCCGTCTTGGCCGGGACGCGGCCTCGGGTGCGCCGCCGCCGCGACTCAACAGGACGACGGTCGGCGTGCGCCTGGTTAGTGCGGTTAGCGTCGTCTAGGGTGGCCACTCGCAGCGAGCAGCGTAGGGTGACCGACCACGCGTGCCGCTGCTTAGTGGTGGGCTGGGCTGGCTGGACGACGCCGGCGTCGCCGAGGGTCCGGCTATGGCCTCGCCCGGCTCGCCCGTCTCGCCCGGCTGCAGATTGCAGAGTCCGCCTCGCCTGCGGTCCGTAATTCGATTTCGGGTCTAAACGCGCGGGAGAGTGGCTGACTTGGACTTCCGGCCAGCCATCTGTCTATTTCGGCCTAGCGGCGCGATGCCCAGCGGGGCACAGCGGGGCCCAGTGGGGCACGGAGCAGCACGGACCACCGCGAACGGCAAGGCGCCTCGAATCGCCCACCGATGGCATTGGCCTTGGTCCTGGCCGACCTGCCGGGCCAGCCGGCTGTTTCTGAATGGGCGCCCTCCTCCTCCTCCTCCTCCTCCTCCTCCTCCTCCTCCCCTCCCCTCCCTCCCCTCCCTCCCCTCCCCTCCCCTCCCCTCCCCTCCCCTCCCAGCCCCGGCGTGGCTCGGACCGCGCCGCCCGCAGACGCCCCCCTCTTGCCTCGCTAACCTATAACACGCCTCTAAAATACGCCTGCAGCATTCTCGGTGGCAGTGTGACGGCTTTCATCGCCGCCCTACCTCACACTCACAGTGCGCCTCCTGTTGCAGTTGTCCGACTTCCCCGGAGAGGTGGCCGAAAATGGCGACATGGCCGCCGTCATGGAGAACCTCACGCAGAAGAGCGCCAAGCAACAGCAGCAGCAGGTGAGCGAGTCGGGTCGAGTGGTGAACGGACGACGCCCCGGCGGCGGGACGGGTTTGTTTTTGTTTTATTTCCTTTTTGCCGGGTGCCTTCCGACCTTGACTATTTTTGGCGGATGTTTAGTGAAGGGGACTGAACCGACGGACACACTCGTAAAACGTGCGTGGCGCGTCGCAGCCACGGCGAGAGCCACGGCGTCCCCAGAAAGCACGAGAGGAAAGCTGCGCTTGCTGCGGAGATCCGAGGCTTGGCGGAGGCTTTCGCAGGAATCTTCGGGGCGAGGGGCGGGGGCGGGCGGGGGCGCCATGTGCGCCGTGTCGACGAACAGCCGCTGGGTCTGGGGCTGCCTGGGGCTCAGTGTAGCCCCGGGGGGCCTCGGGCCTCGCCACTTAGCGGGCAGTCTGTTGGGCGGCCTGCAGAGCTCCTTGTTCACTCTGGCCTCTGCCCGCAGATCTCGTCGGCGTCCTCGTCCAGCAGCCGCATCTCCACGTCCTCGTCGTCCTCCTCGCAGCGCGTGCACGTGAGCACGTCCTCGTCGGAGCTCAAGGCGACGTCCATGAAGTCGGACCTGTCGGAGCTCAAGTCGAGCATCAGCGAGATGAAGAACCTGTCGACGCTGTCCTCCAACATGGCGGCGTTCGCCAACAGCCGCCTGCGCAGCTCTCTGGAGGAGCTGGACCGCGACGACGCCCCGGGCACGGCGGGCAGCTGCGAGCCGCTGGTCACGTTCCCCGACCCGGACACGCCGCCGCCCATGAACGGCACCGTCTCCCTCGTCTCGCCGCCGCTGTCTGCGTCCAGGTCGCCGCCGCTCGTCGGCACGCCCATCCTGGGCAACGGCCTGGCCTCCTCCATGGCCTCGGCCACGTCCAGCAGCTCCTCGGCGGAGACGTCCGTTAAGTTCGAACAGAAGAGGGTCACCTCTGCGTCCAAGACAAAGGTGAGGCCTTTTTCAGGCAACCTCAAACTGTGCGCCCGTAACGCAGTAACAGACACAACTTGAAATTTGGCAGGTGGTGACGGAGGGCTTCACGGCGGAGCAGCAGGCGGCGCGCGCCGCCGAGACGAAGACTGTGACCGCGGGGGAGATGTCCTACCAGGAGGCCAAGGGTGTCCAGGCGCTGCGGCAGCGACTCGAGATGGACGGCCTGGCCGCCGAGAAGACCGTCGCCATGAAGCAGGTGGGTCCTCGCCTCGCGCGCTCTCAGCGCCTGCCTGCTTCAGGGTGGGCCAGCCGCCACGCACGGCCGTCCGACTGGCCGCCTCGCCGCAGGCCGCAGGGGCCCGTCCATCACAGTGTAACGCGGGGCCGGCACGCTATGGCACCGAATCCCTGGCGGGCGGGGCGTGGCGCGCAAACTGCCCAGTTTCCCCGTGACACAGTCGCACCTTGCGTGCGCCAGGCCCAGGGCCGCCCAGGGCCGCCCATGCCCCCAGGGCCCGAAGCTGCGTGACCGAGCCTGAAGGGCACCCCGTGTGCTGCCCTGGCCTGCCCTTGGTGAGCTTGGCGGCGTCCTCGAACTGCCACGCGAAGCGCGCAGGGAAACCACGGGGTGGGCGGGCACGAGGGCCGCGGACCGAGGAGGCAAAACATTGTTATCGGTGCAGATGTCCGGGACTGTTGCGCCGCCCGGACTCCCCAAAGTGCCTCAGCAAACACGTCGCGTTATCGCCTCGTGGACGGACGGCGGAGAACTTCGGCCGGCGCAGGCGGGCGGAAAGTTAGGTCGTCGGCGTCCTTCCCCAGCGTCATTGCTGTCCGAATGGCCGATGAGTGGGCCGTCGGTCCGCGCGCGACAGGAGGGCAGGGTCCCGCACTTGTTGCCCTCCTCGGCGTCGCCTCGCCTAGCCGCGGTGATCGCCATGCTTTGTTGTCAGCGACATCGATGCCGTCGCGTGCCGCGGGTCTTCGCGAGGCACGTCCTCACCTGCCCCCTCACCCCTCCCCCACCTCAAACCCAGCCCCCTGCCCCCTCGCAGCGCCGCTTCCTGCGTTCGTCGGCCCGCTGCAGATCGATCGGAGGGTGGGCGAGGGGGCTAGAGGGTGGCGCGGGCATGGCGCGGCGCGGCGTGGACACTAGTGCGTTCGAACGCGGCTGTAAATATGCCACTGAACGGCCAAACGGGGCGGTTGGCAGTGCTGAGGAAATGGCGCTTCGCGCTGTGGACCGGACGCCCCAGCAGGCTGCCCGGCGCTGCCCGGCGTGTGGCTTGTCTCTGTTGATGGCGCCTGGCGCCGCCCGGCCGGTCTGGAGTGCGCTGGAGTGGGACTGCGAAGCAAAGGCTGCCGCCTGGAACGGCCGGGACGACGGCGCCATTCAGACCGCGTCGTGTCGCGACGCCCCGCGTCCCCAGCGCCCCGCCGGCACCCCTCCCCCACCCCTCCCCCTGGAGCGGCGCCCCTGCCCCGCCCGAGCCCCGCCGCCGCCCCGTCGCTAAGGGTAGGCGTGGGGTTGCCAGGGGGCTGGCGGGGCTGGCCGAGCGACGGCCCCGTCGAGGCACACAGTGCTAGTTCGACCAGCGTGCCACTTGGCCGACCGACCGCGTGTGGGCAGGCCCAGGGCAGCCGGCAGGGCGAGTGCACACCGGGGTGGTCGGATTATCGCAGTGTGCTCCTCTCCTCGCTTTGTTGTGTGTGGAGCTAGCGCGGCGACGAGTGAGTCACTTGTTTTGCCGGCGCTTCCCACTCAGCACCGTCCTGCGACGGCCTGACGCACCGCCGCAAGACGATAGCGGCGGGCATGAAGGGCCCCAGGATCTCTGACGCCACACCGTCGTGACACGCGCCGCGCACGCGACGAGCACGTGGCCGCCATGTCCGTGTACCAGGCGATGCAGTGCGAGGAGGACTGTGGAACGTGTCGCCGCCGCAGCGACTCGTTCTGCCTGCACGTCAAGTTCGCGCGCTTCCTGGTCATCATCCGCCACGGCCTGGACCCCTTCCCGTTCGGCGTGAGCCTCTTCAGCCGGCAGTGAGGCGCCGCGGCGCCGCGGCTCGCTAGGCCCTCGGCGGCGAGGCGATGCTCCTGCCCGCCGTGGTGCGCGCCGCCGGCCTGGGTCACGGCGCCCTGCTCCGCCTGCACGCCACCGCCATGCGCGCCGCCAGGACCCCGCCGATGCCGCGGCCCCGCTCCAGGCTGGCCGCGCCGAGGTCCGCGTCGACGAGCGCTGGGACTGGGCCGCTGCCGCCGCGGGACCGAAGCCGCAGTCCTTCCGAGGTGAGGAGGACGTACGCGACGTCCCCTTCCCAGGGGACAGCGACCTTTACGTGGTCGGCGCGGCTCGGACGGCGCGGCGGGGAGTAGGCCGCAGCTACTCCACCGCGCCACGCCGCCACGCCGCTGGAATGTATCGATTTTCATTTTTGTGGAACTAGGGCCCCGCTGCTCTGCACCAGAACGCACGGGGGCAGACAGCGTGTGGGTAGCGTGCGCCCACCGACTTGAGGACTTCGGGGCGGTCTCCACTTTGACGGCCTGCCTGCTGTCCGCGCTGATTCACCGCGTTATCGCCGGTATGCCCCTCCCGCCCCTCGCCGTGTACACGACTTGCACAGTGTACAGTGATGCGAGGCGGCTCGGGCTGGTTTACTGAGGAAGCAGAAGATTTGGCCGCGAGCGTGCTGCTCCTCGTTCATTGGCTATGCTGAGTGGCCCGCAGTTCCAGGAACGGAGAGCGACCGCGCGACAGCTCAGTGCACTGCATCCGTTAAACGCCCTCAACTCCCGCGAAGTCGTCGGCGTCGTTGGCCTGTCTGGCCGGGGGCGCTGCTTCCAGCCGCCGTCAAGGGGCTCGCTCGCTCTCGCTTCTGCAAATCGAACAAACTAACCGGCGCGGCCAGACTGAGCGTCGGAGCGACGAACACCCCCGTGGCCACCCGACACTCGTGGGACTTGTCATCGAATCGCGGCCTCGCGGCCTCGCGGGTCGTGCTGGGCAGCGCTGGGCAGCCTCTGCTGGCCCGGCGGCCGGCCGCTCGCCGTCAGCGATCCTCCGCGCCCGGTAGTCTGATTCCGAACGTACTCTGTCCCTCTCGCACCCGTAGGGCGCGCCCCGTCAGTGGGAGAGAGACAGAGGGTCCAAGTGCTGATCGAAATGGGCTCCGCCGCGCCAAATACGCCTCGGCATTGGCAACTTGCGGCTGTAAAACGGGGAAGCGCGGACGGCGATCGTAAAGCCGGTATTGGCCGATGTTGCTGTGGGATTGGTATGATCGCTCCGAATGTGCGGAGGCTGGGTATAAACGAATAATGTCAAGGCGCATCGCACTGCTTGCCCGCGTGCCTGCAGTGCGGACCCGGGCTGAAGTTCACTACCCACCCGGCAGCGGCGTGGCGGCCGGCCGTCTCGCCCGCTCCGGCACGCCGCGCGACGCGTCTCGCCCGTCTAGAGGCGCTGGCGCTCACAACATCCGGACGAGGCTGCGGGGGCGTTGTTGTTGCCACAATAATACTTTCGGCGGGGTGGAGAGCGAGCACGATCCGCCATCGGCCGCGCCGCGCCGCGCCGGGCAGGCGGTGCGGGTTGCCAAGCGCCATGGTGCGCTAAGTCGTTTCGCGCCTCCTTGGGGCGAACGCTATCGGATTGGCGGCTTGCGTCGCCGGCATGCTGTTGCCCTCGCGGTGGTGACGGCGGCGGTGACGTGACAGGCGTGCGTGCGACGCGCTAATTCGGTCAATGAGCTCCCCGCCAGAGGCAGTGGTGTGTCGGCCCCATTGATGTGTCGCTGTCGGCCAAAATGGGGTACTGCAGAATGAAGCGCGGCGTGCGGCGTGCGGCCGGCCCGGGCCCGCCCTGCCGAAAACAGCCTACGCATGTTTACGTTGCTCGGCCCGCCCGCTGGCGTTCACTGCCGTTCACTCGACCCACCCAAAAGTGCGATCGTGGGTGCGGGTTCCACCCCAAAAAGCGCGGCCCGGCCATGGCGGCGCATCAGTACCGTCCGCGCCGCCGCCATGCCGGGCCGCGCGGGTGGCTCCATGGAGCGTCGCTCCGCCGCGCCGCGAACAGGCGCCTTGTTTCGGTTGTTTCGGTCACCGCTCTGCGGGCTGCTGTTTTTGCGCCGCGTTTTTCTCGGAAAGGTCTCTGCGGACAACGCACGGTCTCTGTAAGTAAAGTGCCGGCGAGAATGCGCCGGGCAGCGCGGCAGTGGTCGCTTTGCATGCTTTGCATGCTTTGCAGTGCTGGCAAAGCGCTTTTCCAGTGTCGCGCGAAAGCGGTGAAGCGGCGGCACCGTTCGTTGTTTCCGCCAGAAATACAGTGTAGTAATCTCGCTGGAAATCGCATCACGCCACTGGCAGCGCCGCCAGCGCCGCCACTCGGCCGAAGCACCTGTGCGGCGGCCGTCACCCTTGCCGTCGAGCTCCGCCCTGCTCCGCCCCTCCCCCCGAAATGGAAGTGTTTGTGTGATTGTCACAGCGCTGGCCGGTCGGCCTACTTCGCGATCCCAAGTCGCGGCGCGGTGCGCGGTGCGGCACGCCGCCCGCCTCGAAGTAGGGCGCGGCGGGGCGGGCCGGGGCGGGGCGGGGCGGGGCGGGGCTGCTCTACGGGGAAGACCACCAGCAGCGATTAGCACCCGTTTTTCCCCACGCGAGCACACCCTCGGGTAACGCCACATATGGCCGGCCCGAGGCTCGCGGGAAGGCTTTTTGGATGAGCGTACACGCGCGCTTTTCGACGTTTGGGCGGCGAGCGTCCGCGCCGCTGCCTCCTCGTCGTCGTCGGGCTGCGGAGGGCTGCGGAGGGCGGGCGGTGGGCTGGTGGGGCCAACCCTGCTTTTTCGCGTGTTTGGTTTGGGCCGCGGCGCCGCCGATGCGAGCGCCGATGGGCAAGGCCGCGGGCATGCGACGCGTGGACGCGTGCCCGGCACGTGGTCACCCTGTGGTGCTTTGTCGCTATGCCTCTCTCGCCCCACGAGCGCGAGAGAGACAGAGAATCAGTCCGCCATGCATCGGGGATGGAAATAAAAGGTAAACTAACGGTTGTATTGTGTCTGTTGCAGGTGAGTTGCGAGACCGGCGAGGTGCAAATCGTCGCGCCTCGCGCACCGGACGTGAGCAGAATGAGGCGTCCCGGTGCATCTGCAGCTCATGCCTGCAGCTGGGGCGCAGGTGCGCTCGAAGAATGTGCCCCGGTGGGCTGGGCCGCTAGCCCGGAGCACGCGCTGGGAGGGACCACCGTT